AGCCTCAAATCAGAATTCCAGGGGCTTCAATATTCTGGCTGGTTGTAGGGTCTCCACTAAGGAGAAGTGGATCTAGAGATGGTTTTGGATGACTCTGGGCTGTCCCTGTTGAAGGGACTGTGAGAAGGAAGGAATAGAAAGTTGGAAAATTGAAGTTTGTTAATGAAATATTAGTGACAACCTAGGCTGAGCGAATTTACTTTCACTTTTCACTTTCATGCATTGGAGAAGGAAATGGCAACCCCGGCAACCCACTGCAGTGTTCTTGCCTGGAGAATCCCGGGGACGGTGGAGCCTGGTGGGCTGCCGTCTCTGGGGTTGCACAGAGTTGGACACGACTGAAGCGACTTAGCAGCAGTAGCAGCAGACTGAACCCAGCTCCTACTTCAGTGTTTGGGGTTCCTGAAAAGTCCCCTGTGCACACAAGTGTGCTGAGTGTCTGTATCGGATCTGAAGGCTCTGGTTGGCTGGAGAACACTGCCTGAGTATTCAGGGCTGCCTTTTTGTGTGTGTGTGTGTCTGCGTGGGGCTTGGCTGCCAGTGCCTGAAGTTGGGGAGGACCAGTTAGCCTGAGGAGGTGGGGTAGGCCTGGTCCTGTTCTCCCAGCCCTGCCATGGGGCTTTTGGCCATTCTGTGCCCTCCTGGGGCCTGTTTTCTTCTCTGAAAAGGGGCTGGGATGGTTTTTCTAGTAGTCATGGACAGATGTGAGAGTTGGACCATGAAGAAGACTGGTGGTGAAGAATTGATGCTTTTGAACTGTGGTGCTGGAGAAGACTCTTGAGAGTCCCTTGGACAGTAAGGAGATCAATCAATCCAAAAAGAAATCAGCCCTGAATATTCATTGGAAGGACTGATGCTAAAGCTGAAATTCCAATACTTTGGCCACCTGATGTGAAGAGCTGACTTATTTGAAAAGACCCAGATGCTGGGAAAGACTAAAGGCAGAAGAAGAGGGTGGCAGAGGATAAGATGGTTAGATAGCATCACCGACTCAATGAATTTGAGTTTGAACAAACTCAAGGAGATGGTTGGGGGTCAGGGGAGCCTGGCATGCTGCAGTCCATGGGGCCGCAAGGAGTCAGAGACGACTTAGGAACTGAACAACAGCAACCATATTCAATAAATTACACGAGATATTCAACACTTGATTATAAAATAGGCTTTGTGTTAGATAACTTTGCCCAACCGTAGGCTAATTGACATGTTCTGAGCATGTTTTAAGTAGGCTAGGTTAAGCCATGATGTTTGGGAGGTTAGGTGTATTAAATGCATTTTTAAACTTATATTTTCAACTTAGGATGAGATTATGAACTGATAAACCATTTATAAGTCAAGGCAGATCTGTAAACACAACTGTTTTCTGGGTCCAAGAAATCATACTGTGAATTGAACCAGTTAGATTCTTACAAAATGGTCTTGTGTTTCGTTCATGTTTAGAAAGGAGAAAACAAGTCCTGTAGCTAAAGGAAACTCGTGGTGGGTGGGCAGCGGAAGGCCACCGTTAAATGTCCTCAGGGATTCCTTTCTTAGGGCTTTTGATCATCAGACCTTTCATTTTCAAAGGAAAAAAATAACAGCAGCCTGTTGCCACTGGCAGTTTCCTTTTTACATAGCAGGAAACAATGTCTGATGGATGTAAAGGAAGCCTTGAATCCTACATCATTCATGAACCTCTTTGAGTGCCTACTGTGCGCCAAGCATCAGAGAAACAACATGAATACATGGAGGGGGTCTCTGCCCCCCATACCTGATGTCTGGCATATCCAGGGTGCTTAATAAAAATTTGTTGAGTAAGAAAATGAATACAGATAATAACTGTGAATAGTTTTTCTGTCCTGTCACATCATTTTGATGACTCCTGTAATACTGGGTTACATTTTAAATCATCTGTCCTAGAGGTGGCCAGCCAACCTGGTCTGGGACCAGCAGGAACTATTGAGATGCTTGGTGGCCTTGACACTTGATGTTGGTCCAGCATGGCAGTTGAGAGCATGGGCTGCCTGTGTTGGAATCCTTTCTTCACCTCTTCCTAGTGATGAGACCTGGGCGGGTTCCCTGGCCCTGCTGTCCTCAGTGTTCCCATCTGTAAAGTGGGGACAGTGGTGGTGCCCACCCCACAGGGTCGTGGTGTGGCCTACACGTGTGCGCTGCTTGGCGCACCTTGCCCTCTAAATGCTAGCTGCTACCCTCTGTGTGTGCTGGTCCCTTGACCTCTGATGTATTAGACCCACAGGATAAATAGACCCAGCTGCTATTATTTGGGTGTGAAAGAGCCCAGTAATGAGGTTTGAGTCTCAGTTTGGCAGTTTCCTCCCCACATGGCCTCTGCCTTGGTCAAATTCCTGAGGTTAAGGGAGGCTCAGAGAGGTTACCTGGGAAAGGCAGGTCCTTCCTTCACTATGTGAAGATTACATGGAACCCAAGGGCCTGGCACACGAGGTGCCCTCCATAAATGGCAGGATTGTTGTCAACCCCATAAAAAGCACACCAGGCCCCTTGGCTTCTGTGGCCTGGGGTGCCATAACTGGTTCACGGGGCGCCCAGGGAAGTCGTGGGCAGGCCTGGAGGGGGCCCTGAGGGCGGCCGGCCTTGGGAAAGGGCCCACGTCGCAGGCCCCACACGGTCAGAGCATTTTAAAGGCCTTGTATTAGAAAAATAAACCAATTAAATAATACTGCCCCCCATAAAAGCTGACTTTTAATGGGTTCCATGGTGGGGTTTTTCTCTGTGGCGGTCTCGTAGCCATCAGTCTTGGGGCGACTGTCTGCCGCCACGGGGAGAGTTTAATCTTACATGGGGTGGGCAGAATTTTACAAGTTTTATTGCCGTCTTTCCTCCTCCAAAGTGTTGCTATGTCGTTGTGTGCTGAGGGCACCCTGCATGCATTTAACAGTTTACCTCGTTTGGGGTGGAAATGAAAAATGAAGTAATAAATTAAAGAAAAACACAACGTGGATTTTTCCCCTCTTCTCGAGGCAACCGTGGAAGAACAAAGAACCAGTGTTTCCCCCGGACTGACTGCTTAATCAAATTCTAATGGCTTTTATGTATGGACCCTTGCCCACGGGACCCACCTCCTCCCCAGAGAGGGCTCCAGGGCACAGGGGGTGTGTTTGGGGCTTGTCCTGCTGACCCCAGGGTAGAGGGTCAGCAAACGGGAGCCCAGGGGCCACATCCAACTCACTGCCTGTTTTTGTGAAATGATTGGGGGAAAATAATCAAAAGATTTCCTGACACGTGAGAATGACATGGACTTGAGGTTTCAGCGTCTAGATGGAGCTGTATTGGCACATGACCCCACCTGTTCATTGTGGTCTGTGGGGCTGTTGATCTGCGCCTTGCGTAAGGTGCAAAGCCCAATAGTCTCTTGTCCTTTATGCAAAGGTTGGCTGACCCTGCTCTGGGAGGTAAGGAGATGAGAGAAAGCAGCTTTGAGTTTCTTAGAATTGATGACTTATTCCACGGGCTCAAAGAGACAAGTCAGAGGAGGATTGAAGGAGAAGATGATTCTCTTGGGAGACCTTCCAGAAGGAGTCAGCTGCTGGCAGAGATGACTCTCCCCCCTTTTCTGAGCTCAAGTTGGCTTTGGAGCAGAGAGGCCTGAGTTATCCCCCTCCAGCCAGGTCTCCCCATCTGTAGGTTTTCCCATCAGAGGATCCCGAAGCCTGGCATGAGGTCTGGTTAGCTTCTCATCAGCTCCCTTGATGGCTGGAGAATAGAGAAGTTCCCACCTTCCCTCCCAGGAGGCAAGCGCTTTTTGTCAAAAGTTTTATGCAGACCTGAGATGATGATCTCCAATAGCTTTGGAAATTTGTGCTCTTTGGCCAGCTCCCGCCTTAAGCATTCTGCATATAGTAGTGACTCACTTAATCCTTATAGTCAACCCCAGGAGTGAGGTCCTCTTCTCACCCCCATTTTACAGATGAAGAAACAGAGGCACAGGAAGGTCAGGTATCTTGCTGAAGGTCACACAGCAGGTGTGAGGTAGGACCAGGATTCAAACCCAGGGTGCTCCAGGGGTGTCGGCTGCCTGCTGCCACTACACAGGGCTGCCACTTCTTTAGGCCTGTGAGAGCGTCTGCTTTCCTTGTTCCCTCCTGCCCTTACCATGTCATTTCATAGGCAAACAGTCTCCTATGTGAGAAGGAGCATTTGTTCCTTCCTAAATTCATCCTGCCCTCCTCCATCCCTCCATGTTTCCACCCCTCCCTCCCTCCAAAATAATTTATCAAGTGGGTGACTATGTATTAAATTCTGTGTAAGGGCATGAATGATTGAGGATGTTTTGCGAACTCAAAGAATGAAAAAAATAATCTTTTTCCTTTGAAAAGTAGTCCTTGGTATCCTCAACGCTGTTGGGTTTTTTTTAGAAGTTTTCTTAACGTCCCTCTTTTATTCACTCTAAGGGATACCTCTGTCTGTATAGAGCCATAAACCCTCATAATTTCTGATATTTGTGTTTTCCGTAACCTCACATACATGAGACTCTGGGGAGGCTGGGCCTCTGACTTACCCAGTGGGAAGAGCCTGTTCAGGAAAGGCTCTGTGCACCCCGAAAGAAGGCTCCCACAGGAATGAGCTTACCATGCAGCTTGGGGACCAGGAATAAAAGGTCATAACTTATTGTGGAGGGAGAAGGCTACGAATTTTTAAAATATCACCAAGTCTGGTGTTGGTAGAACTTACTCTCTTGGGATAAATGTTACACTCTCCTCTGTCAAAAGTTCAGGATCTTATCAGAGATGCCTGTTTTGTTTCCTGATGGATTTGCCAGGCAGAATTTTTAGCATTATTTGTGTCCTTCTATGTGTGGACATGCCTGCAAACTGGAGAAGACCCATGGGCCCCCATGTCACTGGGCGAAGGACTAGCTCAGCCAGAAGCTGGTTCTCTCTCTTCCTTTCCCACCTGCTGCTGCTTCCCTCCTCTGCGCCTTTCTCTTCGTCAGACAGCAAATGTTTGTTGCCTATATCTGATGAGCCTTCGCTTTCTCTCCTCAGTCATGCGGAGGAACCCCTTTGGTGTGGACATCTGCTGCCGGAAGGGGTCCCGAAGCCCCCTGCAGGAGCTCTACAACCCTACCCAGGTAAGCCCTGGAAACTTCTTTGCTTCTCCACTCAGAGTCCACGTGTCAGCTTTTTGGGGAGGCAGAGGGATTGAAAAACTCCAAAATTCTGGTCTTTGGGGATTTGAAATTTCTTTCCACTGCCTGGGTTTTTACCTTCAGCTGGTTGCTTTCTTGGTCACCCTTTCTCTATAGAGTGGCTCTAAAGTTCTAGCAAGAGGTATTTAGAATGAGAGGAACGGCTTGGTGGAGTGCTGGATTGAGCTTTGAACCTGCTCAGGTTTTGGGTCTGAGCACCACACAGCTGCAGGTGCCAGCGAGGGGACTCTGAAATTGCAGAGCCTGCCAGGCTGTGCAGTCTCCCCGTTGATGTCCCCAGAGATGGCCCACATGGGGGATAAACTCACCACCAGATCTCACATCCAATTATTAGAGCCCAATGATGCCCCCAAGAGGTGCATCTCACTGAGCCAGTCTGACAAGACCCTTGTGTGGGGAGACTTTTTGCCAAGTGACTGTCATGGTAAGTTGAACTTGATTATGAAGAGTTCCTCTCTGAGCAAAATAAACTCCAACCAAGACACAGTGCCCTCCATGGAAAGCTAGGAGGAAAGGGAGGAGGCCCTGTTGCCATGGTGATGGCATCGTTGGTGTGTGTGGGTCTTGATGAGAAAACTCCAAGGCTGGCCCTTTTGGGAGGACATTAATTAGCTTGCGATGCCAAGAACTGGTGAATGAACAACTAGTGACCCATTAGCTGACCTTTGATAGCTGGTGGGAAAGGAGGGGGAAAATGTACTGCTTTGGCTATAATCTCTGAGATTGATTTTGTATCAGATTCTTAAGTTAGTGTTTCTGTGGACCAAGGTGCTTGCAGAGGAAGAAACTATTTGCTTCCCCAGAAGTGCCGAATTCCTGGAAGTCTTGCCAAGAGATGAGCCTGAGAACTTTCTGATTCCACATCTCTTTCTTGTCTTTCACCCTTTGGAAAAGTGGACTCTTGAGTTTGTGCAAAATGGGTGGCCTAACCATGTTAATTCACTCCCCTCTTTCAGCCCCATCACTTTGGAACTCAGTGTGGTGGGGCCAGATTAACCAGGTCATTGCAGACTCAGATTCCCTGGTGTCTCCTTTACTGGGCTTTCTGGTAACTCAGCAGGGAATTGGCCTTTTTAAAAATGGTTATTGAAGTATAGTTGATTTACAAGGTTGTGTTAGTTTCAGGCATACAGCAAAGTGAATCAGTTATATATACACACACACACACACACACATATATATACAAATACTTTTTTTGAAAAAAAGCTCTCTTTCACTATAGGAAGATACTGAGATACTATAGATGGTGAGTATAGTTCCTTATGCTATACAGTGGGTCCTTTTTGATTATCTTGATTTGGGTTTTTGTTTGGTGTCCCAATAATCTGATTACTATAGGCCAGTCTCCTGCCTGTTCACACATTGGTCCTAGGAAGAGACTTCAGTAGAAGGGATTTCTGGTTGGTGAAAGTGGAAGTGTTAGTTGCTCAGTCATGTCCAACTCTCTGCGATCCCAAGGACTATAGCCCACCAGGCTCCTCTGTCCATGGATTTCTCCAGGCAAGAACACTGGAGTGCGTTGCCCTTCCCTTCTCCAAAGGATCCTTCTGACCTAGGGATCGAACCCAGGACTCCTGCATTGCAGGCAGATTCTTTGCCTTCTGACCCACCAGGGAAACCCCTCTTCGGGTAAGCCATGTTGAAAACAACATGTGCTACCAACACGCAAAACGTACCTGTCTCTTTCAGTTGACCTCCTCTGTTCTCAGATTAGTTTCTCTTTTGAAACAAGACTGCTGAAGAGCTTCTGCTTTCCTGAGCAAATTTCAGGAGCAGCAGATGGTGTCATGGGAAAAGCTATTTCTGAAGTAGATGTTTCTCTGGACAGGTAGTCTGTGGACTGTGTCTGCACTAGTCATTGTCACGTCCCCAACCCTGGCCTATAGTGGGTGCCCCCCGAGTGTCTGTGATTGAAAGAGTGAAAGTCCAGGTTTAAATTCCTCTTTCACTCCCAGCTGGTTGTACAACCTTGAACATGTGATGAGTTCTCTTTAGGGTCAGCTTTCCCATCTCTCCGGAGCGTTGGGAGGATAAAATAATTCTGATGTGTCGGGGGCAGGGTAAACATGATTCATCATTGTCATGATTGTGAGAATGGCTTCACTACTGGAAGCCTGGACTCAAGGGTCAGACCTGGGTTCAAAGTTTGTTTTCTTCATATACCGGCTGTGTGAGTGTGGGCAAGACGCTTAACCCGTCTGAGATTGCCTCCCCCCTTTGTAACATGGTGCTGACAATTCCTGCCTTGCAGGCTTCCGTGAGAAGATGTGCCTTGCTCAATGCCTCCTATGGAGGTTGCTCCTTCCCAGATCCATTCATTCATTTACTCATTCACTTTTTCATCTGCTGTTGTGAGCGCCCACTGTATGCAGCACAGTGCCAGGCACGGGCACAAAAGGCTGAGCAGGGCTCATGTGGTTAGGCTTCTGTGTCTGCTTCTGCTTGTTATTCCGAGGTTGACTTGAGTGGGTTACCTGGTGAGGGAGACCCTGCTCGGTCCATTTGTTAACCAATCAAAGAAGAGAAAACGTTCCTGGGTAGAACGTTCCATCTCTTCTATCTGGCAGTGTGGACGAGGTGCCCACTTAGAAGCCTAGGACCTGGGGGGGGGGGGGGGGG